ATCCCTAGAAATAATTTTTTTATATCATGATTCTCCTTTTAAGGACAATTCATGGGCACCTGGGTGGCTCAGTCGGTTAAGCATCTGCCTTCAGCTCAGGTCATGATCTCAGGGTCCTGGGACTGAGCCCCACATCGGGCTCCTTGCTCAGTGGGGAGTCTGCTTCTTCTTCTCCCTCTGCCCCTTCCCCCTGCTCATGCTTTCCTCTCTCTCTCTCTCTCACCCTCTCTCAAATAAATAAAGAAGTAAAAAAATCTTTAAGGACAGTGCATTTGGTTTATTTTCCTCGTAAGTTAGCCTCAGTTTTGGCTTTCTCCATGAAATCAGTAGGCTAAAGAGCTACGCTGAACTCAGCAAAATGCCATGTTTTTTTTGTTTTCTTTTAATGATTTTGTTTGTAAGCAATCTCTGCACCCAACATGGGGCTCAAACTCACAACCCCGAGATCAAGAGTCGCATGCTCCACTGACTGAGCCAGCCAGGAGCCTCCATTCTGTTGTTTTTTAAGACAAAATTCAGAACAGTTAGGTTCCTAATGACTAGGACATACCTGGACTCTTCAGTGTTTCTTTTTTTTTTTTTTTAAGATTTTAATTTATTTATTTGAGAGAGAGAGAAAGGGTGAGCGAGAGAGAAAGGGTGAGCGAGAGAGACTGCACAAGCAGGGGAGGCACAGAAGGAGAGGGAGAAGCAGGCTCCCCGCTGAGCAGGGAGCCAGATGTAGGGCTTGATTCCAGGACCCTGGGATCACGACTTGAGCCAAAGGCAGACGCTTAACCGACTGAGCCACCCATGCACCTCTACCAAAGTTTCTTACAGAAAGAAAAGAACATAGCTCTTAGCACCACAACACCTGGAACAGTCTTCCTCCTCTAACATTCTCTAGGCTGTGTGACTTCAAACACCGTAGGGCAAACATCAGTTGCCAAACTGATAATGTGAAGCTTTTGATTTAGATAATGTTATGTTCTCTCACAGGTGTATATAACTTAAGCATAACCCCCCAAAACACCATAAGATAGGAGAAATTAATGACCTGTTGCAAAACTCTTGAGTATACTGAGACACACATATGCAGGAGGAAGAGAGCCAAGCTACTCTTAAGCCCAATTCCTAACTTCTGTGCTTATTCCAGGGAATGAGAAAGACTCCCCAAAGAATGTGTACAACAGTATTTTTTTACCTCTTCTCTTTGGGGGAGGGGGGTTTTACATATGCTTTTGAATATCTGATGAAAGTTACAGACCTTTTCCCAGAAAAAATACACATAAACAGACTCTTGTAAAAATGTCAAGACCCTTCTAAGAACTCATTCAAAAATCCCAGCTTTGGGGCGCCTGGGTGGCTCAGTCAGTTAAGTGTCTGCCTTTGGCTCAGGTCATGATCTCCTGGGATCGAGCCCCACATCGGGCTCTCTGCTCAGTGGCAAGTCTGCTTCTCCCTCTCTCTCTCTGTGATCTCTCTTGCTTTCACTCTCTAAATAAATATCTTTTTATTTATTTGACAGAAAGACAGCAGGAGAGCACAAGAGGGGGAGCGGCAGACAGAGAGGGAGAAGCAGGCTCCCTGCTGAGCAGGAAACCTGATGCAGGGCTTGATCCCAAGACCCTGGGATCATGACTTGAGCCGAAGCAGTCGCTTAACCAACTAAGCCACCCAGGTGCCCCAATAAATAAAATCTTAAAAAAAAATTCTAGCTTTAAGTTACTGGTTCTGAATGAAAAAAGGGCCAAACAGAACCGGGGTGGAGGACTCTTAAGGGGAAAGCAAACTATAAAAGGATCCAGCAATTCTACTTCTGGGTATATACCTAAAAGAAAGAAAATCACGATCTCAAAGAGATATCCGCACTCCCTTGTTCACTGCAGTATACTTACAACTGCCAAGATATGGAAACAACCTAAGCGTTCATCGATAAATGGATAAAGAAAATGTGGTGTGTATATACAATGGAATATTACTCAGCCATAAAAGGGAAGGAAATCCTGCCATTTGTGACAACATGGTGGACCCTGAGGGTATTATGCTAAGTGAATTAAGTCAGGCAGAGAAAGGCACTTAAGATCTCGCTTAAATGTGTAATCTAATAAAATTAATCTCGCAGAAATAGAAAAGAATGGTGTTTGCCAGCAGCGCGGTGAGGGGAAATGGAGGAAGGTGGTCAAAAGGTATAAACTTCCAGTTGTAAGATTTAAGTTCTGAGGATGTAATGTATAGCATGGTGACTTAGAGTCAAAAATACTGTATTGTGTATTTGAAAGCTGCTAAGAGATTAGATCTTTAAAGTTCTCAACACAAGAATAAAAGCTCTGTGAGGTGACAGATGTTAACTGAGCTCATTGTAATTATTTCACAATACATACATATTTCAAATCATGGTGCACACCTAAACCTATACTATGTTAAATGTTAGTTATAGCTCAATAAAACTGGAAGGAAAAAAACCGTCAAACTCAGCAGTGAAAGCTGGTAAGATAATGACTAGACCATGTTTGCTGGATTTAGCAAGAACAAGTAACTTAGCAAATGCCATTTCAGTACTGTGGTCAGGGGTGGAAGGCAATTGAGCAAATGGAAGGTGGAAATGTAGGCTTTCTAAAACCTTGGCTGGAAACAGAAAGTGAAAAAGAGATGTAGGTACTAAAGGACACAGGAACAAGGATGCTTTTTTCTTCCTATGGGAAAGAAGAGATCTAGGAGAGAAAAGGTTCAAAACAGCTGATATAAGTGGCTAAGAGTGAATTAATTATTTAGAATCCTATCTCCGTGATAATCTGATATTATAGCCCTGCTACTGGTTAATCCCCTTGTGCTCCCAATTAATCCTGTTGAAATGGAGCCATAGGATATGGAATCAGAAAAGCACAGCAGTAAAAGATCTTCCTTTACTGGATGAGGAAATTGAAGCACAGGGACGGTAAATGGCAGTGTAAGCTACACTAGAGAAATGTGGGCACGGGGAAGATTTAAGACCCATTCTCTTTAATTCCACTTTGGTGGAACAAAATGCAAGGGCTTTTAACTGTCATCAGTCTAGGGGCGCCTGGGTGGCTCAGATGGTTAAGCGTCTGCCTTCGGCTCAGGTCATGATCCCAGGGTCCTGGGATTGAGCCCCGCATCGGGCTCCCTGCTTGGCGGGGAGCCTGCTTCTCCCTCACCCTCCTACTGTTCCCCCAGCTTGTGCTCTCTTGCTCTGTCAAATAAATAAATAAAATCTTAAAAAAAAAAAAGACTTTCTTTAAAAAAAAAGTGTCATCAGTCTAAAGAGGAGCCTTGGCTAGAAGGGGAATACTCTTTATACAGTGGTACTTTAAGATATGTGCTTAAGATATCTTCCACACGTGGTGACATAATTAAGGGAAAAGGTTACCATAAAATTAAAATTAAAGCTATGCTTATTTTGGGGCTCCTGGGTGGCTCAGTCGGTTAAGTGTCTGCCTTCAGCTCAGGTCATGGTCCCAGGGTCCTGGGATCGAGTCCCACATCGAGCTCCCTGCTCGGCGGTAAGTCTGCTTCTCCCTCTCCCACTCCCCCAGCTTGTGTTCCCTCTCTCGCTCTGTTGTCTCTCTCTGTCAAATAAATAAATAAAATCTTAAAAAAAAATCTATGCTTATTTTTTATCTTGTCAGTATAGAGTTGAGTTTAAGTCTGTCTGCAGAAAAAGCTTTCTCATAATACTGAAAGGTTTAACAGTTCTAAGGGACGGTGATTTTTAACTCTGAGACTTAAAATGCTTTACGTATTACGTATATAACTTTATAAGTTTCTACAACAAATAATTTAGTACTTACGTTCACTTAAAAGTTAAAAACTACACTTGTAAGGGCAAGCTGATTTTATCCACCAATACTGTATTGATTAATATGTGACTTTGCACACTTTATTCTGGTAACTTCATTCTGATGTCAACTGTTACAGATCATCAAGACCTTTTGTCTTGGGGCGCCTGGGTGGCTAGCCTGGTTAAGCAGCTGCCTTTGGCTTGGGTCGTGATCTGAGTCCTGGGATCAAGCCCCACAGGGAGCCTGCTTCTCCCTCTCCTCCCCATTTAAGAAAGTCCAGCAAGACTCCATTTTAAGCTCCCTAGTTCCAAGGTGTTCTGCATACATTGGTGGTCCCCGATGTGAGAGAAAGTGCACCTCACCAAGGACCTTTCAAAAAGAAGGACAAGGGGCACCTGGATGGCTCAGTGGGGTTAAACGTCTGCCTTCAGCTCAGGTCATGATCTCAGGGTCCTGGGATCGGGTCCCGCATGGGGCTTCCTGCTTGGCAGGGAGTCTGCTTCTCCCTCTCCCTCTGCCCCCCACCCAGCTTGTGCTCTTTTGCTCGCTCTCTCTCAAATAAATAAAATCTTAAAAAAAAAAAAAAAGGAAAGACAATAGGAGCCTGCACCTGACCTCACTGGGCCCCTGCCGTGAGACTGGCTGTGACGCATTATCCTTCCCCTGGTGCTACTCCTAGACTGTACCCTTTTCCTTTAATAAACTATAGATTTGAAAGCAATGTCATTTTGGGTCCTGTGAGTCTTTAACAATTGAACTCTGGTCAACTGCCACTGCTAGTGCAATAAATCCAGTTACCCTAAATTTCACTTCTAAAAAGCAAAAATTTGGGGCACCTGGGTGGCTCAGTTGGTTGTTAAGTGTCTGCCTTCAGCTCAGGTCATAATCCCAGGGTCGTGGGATCAAGCCCCACGTTGGGCTCCCTGCTCAGCAGGTAGCCTGCTTCTCCCCCTGCTCATGAGCGCGTGTGCTTGCTCTGTCAAATAAATAAATAAATAAATAAATAAATCTTAAAAATAAATAAAATAAAATAATAAAAAAATAAAAAGCAAAAATTCTAAGTTGTCTCATGATTCCTGACTTCTGCAACGTAGCTATAGGTCAATACTAACCTGTTATTAGAAAAACTTAAGAGTTACCAAACCCAACTTTATAAGGACAGCACATGTGCTAAGTATATTGAAGAGTAAAGGAAAACAAAAACAAAATCATTGTTACCTTCATATTTTTCCAGAGCCCGAATAACATTAGGAAGTTGATTTATACCCTGATAGAGTCGGTAACAATCTTGTAAGTTTGCTGCTTGTCTCTGAAATTTCTTGGCAAGTCGGTTAAGATCTGGGAATCGACGAAGTAAATCTTCTTGTAAACTCTGCCTCAATTCTGCATCTTCTACAAAAGCTTCCACTAAATTCAGTCTGAAATAAATTGCACTGGTATTAATTTTAAATATTTTGGTATAAAATTAAAATCTGTCTACTAGGTACATAAGAATCAACTAAATGAACTCAAAAATTCTATGCAGGAAGCTTGACTCTATCCTTAAATGTCAGCCTCTTAGAGAGGATGGAAAGCTCCATGATACTGTGATGTAAGCACTTTCTGATTAGTTAATAACCAAACTAACGTTAAGTAGTATCAGAAGATACTAATATATACCCAATTTCATTTGCCTTTCATCAAATTGCCTTTTCTTAAATAGAAGAATTTCATTATTGGGACACTGCTGTTACTGACACATTAGTGCACATGTAAACAATGATCTTCAATAAAACCATTACAATTCAAGAATGTTGCCAAATCCAATACTTATTCTATCAAAAGTTCTTATAAATTTTCAGAATGCATTCTAAAATTACCTTATGACAGTACAAAGCCAAAAATTTCTAATTAAAACTGGAAGGAAAAAAACCGTCAAACTCAGCAGTGAAAGCTGGTAAGATAATGACTAGACCATGTTTGCTGGATTTAGCAAGAACAAGTAAC